TGTGTGTGTGTGTGTGTGTGTGTGTGTGTGTGTGTGTGTGTGTGTGTGTGTCCTTGCACGTGCGCGATCGGATCGTGGGAGGTTGGTCGCTTCAAAAGTTGATCCTTGGGCAAAAAAGTGTGTGTGTGTGTGTGTGTGTGTGTGTGTGTGTGTGTGTGTGTGCGCGCGCGCGCGCGCGCGCGAGGACGGGATGCCCATGTGGATGTGGCTCTTTGTAGTAAAAAGTAAAAAAAATGGCTCTTAGTCTCCGACTGGTTGGCCACACCTGCTCTCAATTGTCCCTAGGTGTGAGTGTAAGCGCAAATGGTTATTCATCTATGTGTGCCCTGCGATTGGCTGGAAACCATTTCAGGTCGTACCCTGCCTACTGTCCAAAGAAATCTGGGCTAGGCTGCAGCACGCCTGCGACCCTCATGAACATGAGCGGTATGGATGATGGATGGATGTATTTCTGGATTGTATGTGGTCAGTATACTGTTGTATTTCTGATCAAATGCAGGCAAACCACCTCCACACGACAGAGATGGCTTCCCTTTTAAGCACTAACTCTGCATTTGAGGACAAAGTAGCACTGCTCTCGCTCGCCGACATTGTTATGCATCAGCATCATCAATATTGCAATAATGTAGGACTTTATGAAAAATATAATCGTAGAAGGTATGAAATGGCACACACCTAGTGGTAATCACTTAGTTGTCAAAATATTGATTACTTTTTGCAACTCTAATGCAAAGAAATGCTTTTTGTTGTTTGCAGCCCTCCACTCTCTGTGGCACGTGTACACGGTGACCAGCAACATCCCGCGTCTTCCGTCCATGATGGCGGTGGTGGTGGTGGACGGCGTGATGACGGAATATTATGACAGCCGCACAGAGGTGGCCGTGGCCAAACAAAACTGGATGGACGCCATCCTCCACGAAGAACCTAACTACTGGGAAAAGCAGACGACTTTCTGGCAAAAACAGGAATACTATGGAAACATCAACATGCAAATACTAAAGGATAGATTCAACCAATCAGACGGTGGGTAAACCTTCCATCCCCGCCGCCTTAGCCTTGGCACCTTCTTTAGAATTCTCAAAATGTTATCAAAGGAAGCTAATTTTTAAAGCTAACAGATGAAGCTAACCAACATAGTTAACACAAGTTGACAAATGAAGCTTGCTGAGGAAGCTATTCAATGAAGATTGCTAAGTATGCTCAGCAAAGAAGCTGAGTTATAACAGGGTTCGTACGGGTCCTTAAAGTTCATAAAAATCCATAAAAAAGTTGTAAAATTATGTTCTTAATTGTCCATAATTTTCTGGGAAATCTTCTAAAATCCATAAAAATTAACCTGCGGTGTTGTCATTTTCCCCACAATTCCAATTCATAGTTTCGTCGGAAAATGCAGGACCTGGTACCCGCTCTGCTTTTCCCGCCGTCTCCGATTAGTTCCGACGATGATCACGTGATCACTTCTGGTCATTCCGGGTAACAACAATAGATCGACGCCATCCTGGGGCAGTGAATGGATGGTTTGGTTGCCGGCTCGGCAAACAATTACCGTTATTTTCTGGAAAAATCTATTCATCGAATTTATCGATCTCAACAAGTGACAGACAAATATGTAGCGACGCTACTTGAGCGAAGCACACCTCAGCAGTCGATAGTCCGCTGCTCTCTGCTGTGTGTGCGTCAGCTAAGCTTAGCTGTTGTCTCAGCTAGGCTAGCTTTTTGTTGTCGTAGATCAAAGTGTATTTGATTTGTGACGTCGGTTGCGTCGGCGCTGATTGGTTGAAACCAAAAGTCATGCGCATGTGTACATGTTCGCGCGGACGCACACACAGCAGAGAGGAGCGGACTTTCGACTGCTGAGGCGCGCTTCGCTCGAGAGGCGTCGCTACAAATATTCCGGGCCAAGGCTATTTTCAAGTGGCGTGGCTGGAGAAGCCGGAGTTCCGTGATTGGGTCGCTAAAATTGCTGCCGATTATACGTCAGCCTACTGCCGAGTGTGCAAGAAGGGCATCTCCGTGAGAGGTAAAACTTGTCATAGCCTCCTGGTCAAATCAAATGCATTGAGGCACACAGCAAAACAGAAGAAAATTGATCGCCAAGAACTTGCAAAAGAGATTGAGGAGAAACCTAAGTCACTTTCTGCTATTCCCTGATTGTCATATCAGTTTCATATTTGTCATTATAAAACATGTCTGATCATTGAAGCTGATATGAGGGAAAATAACCATGACCATGAGCTCTCTTCTTAGTGTTCTGTTTATTAATATAAATTTAAGTTTTATACGGTATTTTCTAAATTAAAATTTTTAAATTTTATATTTGAGAATGAATTCGATTGAAAATTTGACATACAGTATTTCAAATAAAGGATTAGCTGATTGCCCCTAAAAATAAAGATGTGCCCTTTTTTTTGGCAGCAATGATTTGAACACCAGCTCAGTGATATGTGGTTTTCTGTTCAGCCCGCGTATTTCTGAGCAGGCATTAAATCCACCGTGAATCCCCTGCTGAATGGAGAAAAAGTCCTTAAAAATGGCAAAATTGGCCCTGAAAAATTCCTTAAAAGGTCCATAAATAAAAAGCAAGTGGAAGAGTGGGAACCCTGCTGAAGCTTGTTGATCAAATTGCATTGGAGTCAAACGTACAATCTTTGTGTATTAATCAGGGATGAGATTTTTCCGCGTTTTGGCGGAATTCCGCTTTTTTTCCAGTCAAAATGGGCCTATGTTATATTGTTCCAAATCCGTAAAAAATTCTGGGGGGGTGGTCCGGACTTGTCTTCAGCAGATTTGGGGCTCCTAATGTTTACAAGTAACGTTTGCAAGCATCCATTTTAAATCCCGTTTTTTATCGCGAAGCGTTAGTTTGTCGTTACTTCCTATACGGGCGAAAACCAATGTCTTACTTGTTGTGATTGGTCGCTATATCGGCAAATGCAAATCACAACCAATCTGTGTTTGCCTTCCTAAAGCCCTTTCTCGCAAATGCCGAATATTATCGAGACCCGCGACGAAGCTTAAGTGCGTCAGATAGATGCGGATCTGAAAAACACGTTTCGATGGGACTGTTTGGATAGAAAGCTGACGGTGTCCCCAGTAGGAAACAGTAAAGAGGAACCATTGTGCTTGTGTCGGATTTCGTGAAAAAGCTCGATGTCGCCGGTAAAGCTCTGTGTACAGTATGTGACAATGTCATCCTATACGGATCGAGAGGATGGAAAGCTTTACAGAGTCACGCAACCTCGGTGAAACAC